ACTTATTGAAAAACAGCGCTTTTGAAAACTGGTTTAAAAATGCATAAAAAATTATGGGATGTAGATCTTGAAGTGGATCAAGATTTTGAAAATATTCAATTTGAAAGTAAATTTTTCCAAATATTTGAAAATTTTCAATATTTCGTTTGTGGATTTCGTTGAAATCTGGTCGAAAGTAATTTCTGGAAGTCGAAAACTACAAAAAAAGCTTTCGGTAATTCCCGAACATGGTCGACAAAGGCCAGAATTTTCATAAAGGGGATATTTACACAAAAATGGATTGTTTGAAAAAATTGTTTAAAAATTCATAAAAAAGTGCTGATCCGAAAAATATATCTGGCTTATGATTACAGAACAAGATTTTAAAAATATTCCTTTTGAAATCACATTTTTTTTTAAATTCGAAAAATTTCGAAATTTTGTTTCACGATTCTGAAAAAATTGTAGTTTTCAAAGAAATGAGGCTAACAATAATTTCTGGAAGCGAAATCAACAAAAATTTCTTTAAATAAATGTCGAAGATGGTCGAAAATAGGTCAAAATTTTTATAAAGAGTTTTTGAAAAAGTTGTCTAAAAATTCACAAAAAATTCTGGGATGTGGTTCTAGACGTACATACTTACTAATTCAAAAAAACATATATAGTGTGTTTATAGTTACGGGGCAAGACTTTAGAAGAATTCCGTTTGAAAGTAGATTTTTGCAAAAAATGCGAAAAATTTTGTAACTTCGTTTGGGAATCTGGAGAGATCGAAAGTAATTTTTGAAACTCGAAATCTAGAAAAAAAGTTATTTAAGTGATTTTTGAAGATTGCAGAAAAACGTCGATATTTTTATAAGCTTTTGAAATGAGCTTTTGAAAAAGTTGTGCAAAAGCATACAAATTTGGAGATGTAGAATGATGTGCTGATTCGAAAAATGTAGGTGTGTTTAGGGCCCCCAAGCAAGATTTAGAAATATTCCGTTTGGAAGTAAATTTTTCGAAAAAGGTCAAAATTTTTATAAGGGGGAGTAATCAAAAACTGCTCTTTTTAAAAAGTGAAAAAAATCAAAAAAATCTTGAAAGTAGATGTCGACGTTCCACTTCCAAAAATATGACGTATTTATAGTCCCAGAGCAAGATTTTATAGATATTCCGTTTAAAAGTCCACTTTTCAAAAAAAAAGATGGTTGAAGTTTTCTAAAAAATGAGGCTGACAGTAATTTCTGTAAGTCGAAATCTACAAAAAAATCTCTTTAGGAGGTTAATTTTGGAAAAAAAAAACATGTCAATTTTCAAAAAATATCGAAAAATAACGTTTTTGGAAAAGTAAAGAATTCTGGTTCGAGAAATATGTTTATTGTCTCGGAACAAAACTTTAGAAGTATTCCGAATTTTTCAAAAAATTTCGAAATTTCTTTTGACGATTTTGCAGATATGGTGGGAATTTTCGAAAAAATCGGACCGAATGCAATTTCTGAAAGTCGATATTTGGACAAAAAATCTCTTTTGGGTGTTTTTCAAAGTTGGTCGAAAAAGGTCCACGTTTAAGAGTACATTTTGTAAAAAATTTCGAAAATTTGACGCCGAAAGTAATTTCTAGAAGTCGAAATCTACAATAAAGGCTTTTGAAAAAGTTGTCTAAAAATTCCCAAAAAATTCTGGGACGTAGATCTAGAGATTTCCCGTTTGAAAATAATTTTTTTCAAAAATTCGAAAAATTCCAAAACGTCCTTTGACGATATTAGAGAAATGGTGTAGTTTCGGAAAAATTAAGCCGAAGTAACTTCTGGAAGTCGAAATCTACACAAAAATCTCTTCGGGTAGTTTTCGAAGATGGTCGAAAAAAGCTCGAAATTTTCAAAAAGCTTACCGATAAATTGAACTTTTGAGGAAGATTTTAGAAATATTCTCTTTGAAAGTAAATTTTTAGAAAAATTCGAAAAATTTCGAAATTTTCTTTGACGGTTCTGGAGAAACGGTGGAAGTTTTCACAGAAATAATTTCGAAGACAATTTTTAGTCAAAACGTAAAAAAAATCTTTTTGAGTAATTTTAGAAGATGGCCGAAGATAGCTCAAAATTTTCATATCGGAAAAATACTGAAAATCTGCGCGTTTGAAAAAATGGATCAACGATTTACAAAAAAAAAACTAGAATGTAGATCTTTACACACTTATGGTCTCAGAGCAAGATTTTAGAAATATTCAGACTGAGATGGTAGGATTTTCCGAAGAAATGGGCGTAAAAGTGACTTCTGGAAGCCGAATGTACATAAAAGTCAATCCACGTAATTTTCGAAGATGGTCGAAAATAAGTGAAAAATTTTATAAGGGGATGTGCTAAAAAGTTGGATTTTTGAAAAAGTTGCCTAAAAGTAGAGAAAAAATTCTGGGATCTTGAGCTACTGTTACCAAAAATATCGGTGCTTTAGAGTATCGGAGCAAGATTTTAAAAAAATATTTCGTTTGAAAATAAATTTTTCGAAAAATTAATAAAATTTTGAAATTTCGTTTAACGATTCTGAAGAGATGGTAGGAGTTTTCGATGAAATGAGGTAGAAAGTAATTTTCGAGGATGGTCGAAGAAACGTCAAAATTTCCATAAAAAAGAACTAGGCTTTTGAAAAAGTTGTCAAAAAATCATAAAATTTTTGATGTAGATCATATCCCGTGTTTATGGTCCCAGGAAAGTATTTCGTTTAAAAATAGGTAGGTTTTCGTCAAAAAATTCGAAAAATTTCGAAAATCTGATTGGCGATCCTGGAGAAACGGTGAGTTTTCGAAGAAATGAAACCGAAAGTAATTAATGGAAGTCGAAATCTGCAAAAAATCTCTTGGGGATTTTTGAACACAATCGAAAACAACACGAAATTTTCAAACAATACCGAAAAATTGCGCTTTTAAAAAAAGGAGTTTAAAAATTTATCAGAAACTCTGAGATCTTAAAAGTAAACTTTTTGAAAATTTTGAAAATTTCCAAATTTTGTTTGACGATTCTCGAGAAATTTTTTCAGTAATTCTCGAAGAAAAGGACGAAATTTTCATAAGATCTCGATGTCTTGATTCAAAAAATATGTATAACTGGTCCTGGTGCCAGATTTTAGAAATACTCCTTTTTTAAAAATTCGGAAAATTTGGAAATTTCGTTTCGTCATTCTACAGAGTTTGCAGAAGTTTTCGAAGGAATGAGGCTTTCTGGAAGAGAAATCAACAAAAAAATCTCTAAATAATTTTCGAAGGTGGTCGAAAATAGGTCGAATTTTTAGTAAGGAAACAGTAAGCTTTAGAAATACATATTCGGTTTAAAATTGATTTTTTTGAAAAAAACTTGTTTTTCGTTTTAAAACTCTGGAGACTGTAGAAGTTTTCGAAAAAATGAGACCAAAAGTAATTTCTGGGGTCGAAATTTACACAAAAGTCTCCTTTGGTTATATTCGTAGATGGTCAAAAAGAAGTCAAAATTTTCATAAGGAAAAATAGGACTTTTGAAAAAATTGTCTAAAAATTCAGAAAAAGTTCTGAGATTTTACGTCCTGATTCGAAAAATGTGACGTGAGTTTGAAAAATTGCGAAATCTCGTTTTGCGAATTAGGAGAAATGGTGCCAGTAGTCGAAGAAATTGTGGCAAAAGTAGTTTCTGGAAGTCGAAATTTACAAAAAAGTGTTTTTGGGTAATTTTCCACCGTGCTAGAAAAAAGTTGGAAATTTTATAACAGGGAGGACTGAAAAATTGCTCCTCTGAAAAAGCTGTCTAAAAATTCATAAAAAAATTCTACACTGTATATTTCGACATGTTGACTCGAAACATGGTAATTTTATTGTTTAGGACCAAAATTTTTGAAATATTCCTTTTCAAATTCCATTTTTTCAAAAAGTTCGAAAAACTTTGACAATTCTGGAGAGATGGTAGGAGTTTACGAAGAAACGAGGTTGAAAGTAAATTTTGGAAGTCGAGATCTATAGAAAAATCTTTAGGTAATTTTACTAGATAGTTGAGAAAACGTCCACATTTTCATAAGAAATACTGAAAAATTTAGCGTTTGAAAACGTTATATAAAAATTCAGAAAAAATTCTGAAATATAGATTTTTACCTACTCAAAATGTAGCGGCGTTTTTGGTCGCGGAGTAAGATTTTAAAAACAAGAAATTCTCTCTGGAAACGAAATCTTCGAAAAATTCTGCCATCTAAATCTCAACGTGGTTATTAGGAAAACTTGCGTGTTTATGAGTTCGGAGAAACATTTTAGAAATATTCGGTTTAAAAGTAAAGTTAAAAAAATCTAAAAATTGCGAAATTTCGTGAGGCGATTCTGGAAAAAGTAAAAAAGTATTGAAAAATGGAGATTTTGAAAAAGATGTCTTAAAATTCATAAAAAATTCTAAGGTAGAAATAGATCTAGAGAAAATCAGTGACCATAACTTTTCAAAATTTTCGAAATATTTTATTTAAAAAATTGTCATATTTCACATCAGCAATTTTGGAAAAATGATATTAATATTTGAAGAAATGAAGCCGAAATAAGTTTTGGAAGAATTTTAAAAAACTTTTAGATGTCAGTCAACAAAAAAATTCTTTGGCAAAGTTTCAACGACGTTCGAGAAAAAATATGCAAAACATTGAAAAAATAAAAGTCTTGAATTTTAAACCTGTTGGTTGTATTCTAAGTACACATAAATAACACAGCAATAAAAAAAGTAGATAGTCCTAATAAATATGAAGTGAATTCTTAATTTAGACATTTTTCGAAAGTTATACATATCATAAAATTTTAAAGTCTTTTGGAACAGCGATAATGAAGGATTTAATGACAACCTACGTCAAACTCGGGCACCAGTTTTTTTATGTCACAATAGTACTAATACGACAAAGGTTATTGTGGCAGTTAAACACAAAAGAGGGAACAAACTAATTCCAAGAGAGTACTTTGAAACTGTATAGCTTTATTTGAAAAAAAAAGTCATTGTATACATCCTTCACCCGGTAATTATAATAATACCAACTTTAGAAAAATTGTAAAGTTAGTTTTTTTTCTCTAACAATTCTATAATTTCATTGGCCGAATCCGCTTTTCCAGGAAGCTCAACTTTAACGATTTTCCCGAAAACCTCAGACATATTTACACAATTCTGTTGCCACTTACCCTCACCTATGTCTTTAAGAAGCTTCGACAGGTCTTTAAAAGAGTTTTCTAATTTTAATTTTTGAATTGTTTCCAAAAGTGTTTTAATAGACGAAAGCCACTTCTGTTCCAAATTCTCGTTACAAACTCTAGTATCGGTGAAGAATTTCCTCAACACTGTAACCAAATTTTCCTTAGAGGTTTCACCGTAATTATATATAGTGATTTCAGTCAAAACGTAGACCAGTCCATCTGAACAATAGTCAACCTCACCCCCCAACTTATTAATAATTACGAAAAATTGTGGCTCGGAATTCATCTGTTCCCCTATTAATTTCCCCAAATCGAAATGAGGAGCTAGAGTTTCTAACAAATAACCCAAAACGGAAATTCCTCCATCTTCGTTCAAGATCTTTGCAAAGTCTAAGTGAAGTTTTTTTTCTTTTAGAATTTCCATGCTTCCAAATGGGGCGAAAAATTCTCCCAGACCTTGATAGATCCCGATTAGCCACTTAAAATCCCCCCGATTTTGCGTAGAAACGTCACCCATGACACTTTCAAAGCTAGACAAAGAAGTTTTTAATTTATCGGACGTTATTTTTGAGATGTGCAAAGCAGTGGCTAAAGCTTCACACCGAGAAGAGTAGTCGATGCTCAAAGGTGTCAAAATCCCCGACAATTTTTCAGACATTTCGTCTGAAATCAGCTGCGGGTCGAATTGGTACCCCTGTTTTTGGCCAATAGAGAAAATCTCTTTGGGTAAAACCGGGTTTTTGAAATATTTTTCAAAACTGGTTTCCTTGATGTTCCAGGTTTTGTCAGAGACACCACCCGGTATATAAACCCCTATTCCTTCCTCGTACGAGAAGGCAAAGGCGTCTCCTGATAGACCATCGTAGAAAACACTAGTGTTGTGACGATGGTCCAAAACGGCCACTTTTTGGTGCTTCCTGCTGTAGGGAAAGTGGAGTCCGAGATGGGCGTTTACGTAGTAGGACAAACGGTCTGTGAAATCGCAACTAATGACAAATTTTTGGTGATTGTAATTTACCTAAGTCGTTTTTGGTGCTTTCGAAGCTTCCGCTAGAGTCATCATCGATGTCTTTTTTAGGGTGGTGTTTACCCCAACCTCTTTTATTTCCTTAAAAAAAAATTTTTGTTTTGTTAAAAATGACGATGATTATTTACAAACCATGCGACGCCACAGTGGCAATTGCGACGAAAAACGCGACAAAGTAAGTAAGCTTCATGGTTGGACTCAAAAGTGGAACTAATTCCTAGTTCTGGTTAAATTTATTTCGTTGACGTCTTTGTTTTTAAAATGGCACGAATTTTGAATTTTCAAAAATAACGTGTATTTAGGTTTATGCAAATTTTTATGAGATTCTTTGTTGATAAAGATATCGTGTTTATGACTGCAGAGGCAAAAATATGTACATGTTTATTTAAAAAAAGGGTACAAGTATGTGGTAGAAATATCTGAAAACAAAGGAAAAAGCTTCACAACACAAAAATTTATTTGGTCATAAAAATGTATTTGAATGGAAGTTCCATTTGTTTTTATTTTATGGTTGTGTTATTTTTTACTGCAGTGATAACGATTATCAACTCTGCTTGAATTATGTATCACATTTTTATCTACAATGTACTTTTATCACTCTTTGATTTTTAGTTTTTTGCCGTTTAATATGTAGGCTGTCCGTAATGCACCCATAACCTGATGCGTTGAAAACAGATACAATTTTTTGTATTAATCGTTTCTACATTTGCGTGTGTTAAGTCAATATTTTGGTGGTTGTCATAATTGATTTTTTCAACTTTAGCTCAAGTGAGTATAATGACAAAATATATTTTTCTATAAACTTTTGCATTAATTTTTTGAAAAATTTAAAAATTCAATATTCCGAAAGAAATTTTGGAGAATCAAAAACCCAGAAACTGAAAATTTGGGTCACTGAGAAATCTAAAAGTTACAAAATTGTAAAATCCCAAACCCGAAAAATGGAAAAATTGCAGAAGTGAAAAATTCAGAAATGCAAAAATCGAAATGTTCAGATCGGAAAACGAAAAGTCGCAAAATTCATCAAACGAAAATTGGAAAATTGAAAAATTAAAAATCGAACTAGTGAAAATCGAAAAATTAATGAACAGAAACTAAAATGTCTAAGAGTAAAGAAAAAAATGCAAAATGAAATTCGAAAAATAAAAAATCAAAATTGCGAAATTCTAAAAATCCAGAAATGGAAAAATAATAAACCAAAAATCCACCAACTGAAAAATTGAGATATCGGAAAATTAAAAATTGCAAAATAAAACAAAAATTAATATTTTATCTAAAAATGATAAAAAACAAAAAACTGAAAAATGGAATGATTGAAAAATAGAAAAATTACAAAATGAGGAATTAAAAATTCAAAATTTTGACATTGAAAAATCGAAAAACTGAAAATCAAAGCAAGTGAAAAATTAAAAATCGAAAAATTAAAAAATCTACAGATTGAACAAACATTGAATATATTGAAAAATGAAAAATCGGGAATTTTAAAATAGAGTGACGGAGAAATTTAAAGATTACAAAACTATAAAACAAAAAAAATTGTTAATCCTAAAATTGAAAATACGACAAGAAAAATCGAAAAGTATAAAATTAGGAATCGAAAAACTGCAAAATTGAAAAATCGAAAAAATTCCAAAAAAAGGGAAAATAATGAAAATGGGCAAAAACTCAAAAATCAAAAATCGAACAATTGAAAAATTAATAAAATTAATTGAAAAATTGAAAAAATAAAAATCAAGATATTGCAAAACTGAAAAATCCAAAAATTGCAAAATTGTCAGTTGATAAAGTCGGAAATTGCAAAAAGGAAAATAGACACATTAAAAATCGAGAAAAAATTAAAATACCTGAAAATTAAATAACTAAAATTGAGAAAATTCGAAAAGTTGCAAGATTTTAAACTTAAGGAATGCAAAAATTGAAAAACCAAAGAATCTTTTGAATGAAAAATTGAATGATGCAAACACGAAAAATTAAAATACCGCCATAAAAATGGAAGAATTAATAAATAATAAAATGAAAAAATTAAAGAATTGTTAACCAAAAACACAAAAAATTGAAGAAACGAAAAATTCAAGAATCGAAAAATTCAAAATCGGAAAATGAAACAAAAACAAAAATTAAATTAGTAATAATTATAAGAACCAAAATTTAAAAATGAAAATCGAAAAACTAAAATAATGAACATTGGAAAAAATTAAAAAATGTAAAATCGAGAATAGAAATCTATGACTGAGAAATCTAAATATTAAAAAAATGTGAAACTGAAGAATTGTCTAATTGAAACATCGGTAAATTGAAAAATCGAAAGATCGAAATAATGAAAAATGAAAAAATTGAAAAACTAAAAAATTGCTAATCGTAAAATTGAAGAAATGAGAATTTGAAAAGTCAAAAAGTAAAAAATCGAATAACGAAAAGCAACAAAATTGAAAAATCGAAATATAGTTCTATAAAGACGAAAAATGAAGAAAATGAAAAAATAAAAATGGAGAAAAATTTAAAATATCTAAAAACGAAATAATGAAAACTGGGAAAAATTGAAAAATCAAAAATAGAACAATTGAAAAAAAAATCGAGAAGTTAAAAATTTGAAAAATTTAAAAATGAAAAAAACGAAAAAATGAAAACAGAAAAAGTCTAATTACTGAAAAGTCGAAAATTGTAAAAACGCAGTCTTGAAGAAGGACGAAATCAAAAGATTCCAAAAATTGTAAAATAAAAATCGCAAAACTAAAATAATTAAAATGGGATAAAGCCGAAAAATTAAAAATTGAACAATTAAAAAATTAACAAAATTAGTCGAAAAATCTTAAAAATTGAAAATAATAAAAATCGAGATATTGAAAAATTAGAAATGCAGAAATTGAAAAATCGATAAAAGAAAATCCAAAAAAATAAAAAATTTCCAAAATCAAACAATTGTCAATCGAAAATTTGGAAAAACGACAATTGAAAAATAAAATAACGGGAAACGGAGACTTGCAAAATTTAAAAATCGAAAAATTGCAAATAACAAAGAAACAGATATTTAAAAATTGAAATGTTGAAAAATTGTAAAATCTAAAAATTACGAATTGTCAGTTGATAAAAGTCGAAAAATGAAAAAAGGAAAGTAGAAACATTAAAAATTAAAATATCTAAAAATTAAATAACTAAAATTGGGAAAATTTGAATCGTAAGATTTTAAAATTAAGGAATGCAAAAATTGAAAAACCAAAGAATCTTCTAATTGAAAAATTGAATAATTGCTAACACGAAAAATTAAAATACCTTAATAAAAATTGAAGAATTGAAAAATACTAAAATTAAAAAATTACAGAATTGTTAACCAATACTCCAAAAATTCAAAAATCGAAAAATTAAAATCCGAAAATGAAACAGAAACAAAAATTAAATTAATAATTATAAAAACCAAAAATTGGAAAATAACAATAAAATATCTAAAATAATGAAAATTGAGAAATAAAAAATGGAACAATTGAAAAATTAAAATCAGAGAAATTAAAAAATTAGAAATTGAGAAATTGTGAAAAAAAAAATCGAAAAGAAATGTGAATAATCGCAAAATTGAAGAATCGGGAAACAACATTTTCAAAAAACTGAAAAATAAAAAATTGATAAACTTAAAAATGAAAAATCGAGAATAAAAAACTGGGATGATTGAAAAATCTAGAAATGTACAAAATGTAAAACTGAAAAATCTTCTAATTGAAACATCGGTAAATCGAAAAATTAAAAATCTGGCAAAATTTAAAACGAAATAATAAAGTCTGGGAAAAATCGAAAAAACAAAAACAATTGAAAAAAAAAAACCGAGAAATTGAAAATTCGAAAAATTCACCTAGGGAATAATAACATTTATCTGTTAAAAATACTTTTACTTAATTACTAAATTTTTCCTAAATGATGATATTAACTGACAATTTTGAATATTCACTGGCAAGTAATTGAAAATTCTAACTCCCATACAATCAGTTGCTAACACACCAACATTACAACGTTTAAACGGAACATGAATCTGATGTTTTTGTCGGGTATTTACTTTATGTACGTTATGGACATACGTTAGATTATGTCGGTTTTTATAAATGTGAACACTCATTTCAAATATGTATAATGACGGAAGAGTCAATATATTTAATTTTTTAAAAAGGCTTTTGCAGCTTGTATGTTTACTTGCACCGGCAATTGTTCTGATGGCACGTTTTTGACTAATAAACACATTGGCTGCGCTTGGTGACCCACCCCATAAACAAATACCATACCTAATTCTGGATTCCACATGAGCATGGTATATATTAACCAATTGATCAATATTTAAAATTATCTTTAAATTTCTTAGAAGATAACACAGTGAGTTTAATTTTGGAACCAGTATTTTGGCATGTGACTTAAAGTTGAGGTTTGTATCTACCATAAGATCTAGAAATTTTATGGTGTCGACAGTGTTATGCTGTAGATTTGAACATTTGAGATCTATATACTTACAGGTGTTTTGGCGATTACGAAATCTTATAACTTGTGTTTTTTCAGAGTTTATATAAATGTTGTTGGTGGAAAACCAGGATTGGAGATTCGTCATTAAAATATTAACCTCTCTTTCTAATTGAACTTCATTGCGATCTGAAATTATAATCGACGTGTCATCAGCATATAAAACAGGTGATACATTTTTAAAGATGCTTTCAATGTCGTTTACGTAAAGAAGGAAGAGAATGGGTCCCAGAACTGATCCCTGGGGCACACCTACATCTATGTCAATTATGTTAGAACTGATTTGATTTTTAAAATTTTCTTTATTGGTATTCGGAATTACAACGTACTGATGCCTGTTCTCGAGGTAGGATACTACCCAATCCAAGCTATTACCTCTACATCCATAAGAGAATAATTTGGTTATCAACAGATTATGATTTACGCAGTCGAATGCCCTGCTGAGATCACAAAAGATCCCAACAGGACACTCTCCCGCCTCTATTTTTGAAACAACATTGTTATACAAATCAATCATGGCAGTATTTGTGGAAAGATTATTACGAAAACCATGCTGGTATTTACTAAGTACATTATGATTGTCTAAAAATTTTTGTAAGCGACACAAAAATGCTTGTTCAAAAATTTTTGAAAAACTAGAGCTAATTGCAACAGGACGGTAGTTCTCCATGCAAGCCTTATCTTTTTTCTTATGTATGGGAATAATTTTTGATGTTTTTAGTAATTCCGGGAACTGACCCTTTTCAAACGACAAATTTATAAGGTACGTTAGAGGAGTTATAATTGCAGAGAGTACTTTTTTAATTATGGCTGGCGGAATATCGTCTGGTCCGGCCGACCATTTAGGTTTTATTTTATTTTTCACAAGAGAAAGCAACTCTTCCTCCACATACGGATGAAGAAATAAAGTTTGATTAACACCATCAATATTATGACTATCGGCTGGTGTATTATTCCTCACTGAAATATTTTTTATGAGATCTTTAGGGGCTTGCTTGAAGAACTCGTTGAAGCTATCTGCAACTAAAGATGGATCATTTAAAAGAGTATCTTTTACTGAAATTTCGATGTTATTAGAGATCTCTGGTTCGTTGTGTGTTAATTCTGAAATAATTTTCCATAAAGTTTTGTTAGGGTTATCGGATGTAAAAATTTTGTTTTGAAAAAATCTCCTTTTACTATTTCTAACCAATTTTAAATGAATAAGTTTAGCTTGTTTATAAATGCAGGATAGCTGAGGGTAGTTACTTTTCATAATGTACAGATCTTTTAGCTTAATACTTGATGTTAAAATTTCTGAGTTTATCCACCTCCTACTATACGTATCTGTCTTAGTTGTACGCATTTTAAGTGGGAATTGGTCCTCGAAATGACTCCGAAAGATTCCATAAAAGTAATCAAATGCATCATTTAAATCATTCAAACAGTACAAACCATCCCAATCTTGATTTACCAACCGACAGAGGAATTTTTGAATATCAGCATTTCTAAAAATTCTCTTTAACTCATAGACCTTATTATTTGTTTTAGGGGTAATTTTAAAAATATCAGTTTCATAATAAACTGTCCTGTGATCTGAAACAATATTGTCGAAAACATAACATGTTCCGTTCTCAATGTTAGTGAAAGCATGATCAATAATAGAAACAGTTGATTGAGTAACACGAGTTGGCCACCAGACTTTATCAGCTAACCCATACGATTTTAATAAACTACATAAGATGTCGTAATCATTACATTCTATAAACGAATTTATATTAAAATCACCGCACAAAATGATTTTATTGTAAGGTTTGAAAGTTGAATTTAGCGCATCGTTTAGATTGTCCATAAATGTCTTAAGATCTCCATCTGGAGATCTATAACAAGTTATTACAATAACTGAAGTGTTATTTTGTAAGAGTTTGACAGCACATAGTTCGATGTGTTTATCTACGCAGAACGCATTCAACGAAATTTTTTCCCAACACATGTCCATCTTTAACCAAATAGCGACACCTCCACCCCTCGAAGAGAGGCGATTATAGTGACTTACCAATTTAAATTCATCGATACTATTACTGTTTATCGAGGCCGAATTTGACCATGTTTCCGTCAGACAAAGAATTTTTACACTCCTGCATTTAGAAAGTTCAACCTCCAAAAGTCGGCTCTTGTTAGGATTCAGACTTTGAACATTTAATAACATGACTTCTGGAGCAAAAATTACTTCTGAGTAGGCTGATTCTTCTTCTTCCACTGAAAAAACTTATCAATGCATGCCCCTTTCGGCCATATGGTAGAGTCCATAGCCTTAGAAAAATTATAACTATACAAAGAAACCTTAAAAGACGAATACTGTAGAGGATGTTTTGATGGTAAGGTCTCACACAGCACTTCTTTGAACATCGGTTTCAAATAGCCGATTACGTCCGCTTCTGTCGTAGATGGATGGAGTCGGTACACGTGCAGATCGATGAATTTCGGAACGGTCTGTAGCGTTGCCACCCCATTTGCGTTTTCTTCACTTTCGCCTACTATCACCCGTTGCCTCTTACGTGAATTCCGGTGTTTGCTAGTTTGCCATTCGTCCTGCTTAGGGACCACGCTTGTATCATTTTGCCCTCTTTCATCTGGTTTGGTTGATTCGTTGACGGAATTCATGTCAGTATTATTATTTACATTCAAACTGATTGATTTCGAAGTTTTTGCACTATCATTTTGTTTGTTCTTCTTAACGTTTTTGTGGAGAGACTGATGTTTTATATCTCTCTTCTCCAAGGCTGGAGCACCCTGATTATCTATGTTGTTATCACCTTTTTTAGCACCGTCACTTTCTCTAAGAGCTCTTATTTGTTCCCTCAGTTCATTAATTAAAATGTCTTTTTGCTTCACAATGTAATTAAAGAAATCGAAGAAATGTGAAATTAAAAGAATCCAAATATTGTAAAATAGAAATCGAAAAATTAAAACAATTAAAATGGGATAAAGTCGAAAAATAAAAAATCGAACAATTGAAAAATTAACAAAATTAATTGAAAAATTATAAAAACCAAAAATTGGAAAATAACAAAAATATCCAAAATAATGAAAATTGAGAAATTAAAAATGGAACAATTGAAAAATTAAAATCAGAGAAATTAAAAAATTAGAAATTGAGAAATTGTGAAAATAAAAAATCGATAAGAAATGTTGAACAATCGTGAAATTGAAGAATCGGGAAACTACATTTTCAAAAAACTGAAAAATAAAAAATTGATAAACTAAAAAATGAAAAATCGAGAATAAAATACTGGGATGATTGAAAATCCTAGAAATTTACAAAATTGTAAAACTGAAAAATCTTCTAATTGAAACATCAGTAAATCGAAAAATTAAAAATCTGGAAAAATTTAAAACGAAATAATGAAAACTGGGAAAAATCGAAAAATCAAAAACAATTGAAAAAAAAAATCGAGAAATTGAAAATTCGAAAAATTGAAAAATCAAAAAAATGTAAAAATGAAAACCGAAAAAGTCTAATTGCCGAAAAGTCGAAAATTGTAAAAAACGCAACCTTGAAGAAAGACAAAATTAAAAGAATCCAAAAATTGTAAAACAAAAATCCAAAAACTAAAATAATTAAAATGGGGCAAAGTCGAAAAATCAAAAATCGAACAATTGAAAAATTAACATTAATTGAAAAATTTAAAAAATCGAAAAAATGAAAATCGAGATATTGAAAACCTAGAAATTATTGAAAAATCGAAATATACTGCAAAATTGTGAAATTAAAAAATTGAAAAAGAAAATTGAGCAATTCGTAAAACTGCAAAATCGAGAAATTGAAGAACTGAAAAATCAAATAATTCGAAAATCAAAAAATTATCATTCGAAAAATTGAAGAGACAAAAATTGAAAAATAAAAAATCGGAAAATGGAAATTCGCAAAATTGAAAAATCGAAATATTGTAAAAAATTAAAATACAGAATATTTAAAAATATTTACAAACAAGGAAAACTTAAATACCTACCTAAAAATTGGAGAATTGAAAAATGGTAAAATTCCTACACCTATTATTGAAGAATGAAAAATACAAGAATCGAAAAATTGAAAATCGGAAAATCAAAAACAAAGATTAAAATCATAATTATAAAAACCAAAAATTGGAAAATGGAAATCGAAAAATTAAAAATCGAGAAAAATTAAAATATCCAAAAACGAAATAATTAAAATTGAAAAAATCGAAAAATAAAAAATAGAACAATCGAAAGATTGAAAATTCGAAAAATTGAAAGAGTCTAATTAGTGAAAAATTGCAAAATACGGAACTTTGAACAAAAGAAAAATTTAATATCGCAAAGTAGGAAAATCACAAAAGTTTTTGATACAAGTAATCCAAATTAGATTTTTTGGCAGAGAAAAATTACACATTTTTGATTTGCTTAATGCTTCTAAAATTTCATTTTTTTTTCGAAAAAATTTACCTGTGACAATTCTCTAAGCATTTTTAATAATTCTGGAGAATTTACCTGACCTGACCTTACTTTGTTATGAATAAATAACAAAGGATCAACTATAATTTTTTTTATTTGTCTTTTACAAAAACTTGTTTGTTAAATTGTCAACTGGTATTAAAACAAACGAAGTTAGGAATACAGAACTTAAGTACGACAATGTAACATTCTTCAATATTTCTGTTGCCTGAAACGAGATTTTACAAAGAAATTAAAATAGTACAAACCAATAAATTAATACAGTACCATTAAACAAGGTGAGACGTAAGTAGGAGATCGTTTTAACGCGTTATCAATGCTGAAAAACACAAAATGAATTAAATATCCACCGAACGACAACTTGCCCAGAGTATGCATTGGCGCCCATTCTAGAACACTTCTAATAAACCCTGAAACACAATCATGGTTTTCGTACACTTAAAACTATCAAAAACGTACCACCTAGACCTTGCAACGTGCCAAAAATAAAAAAACTAATTCCAAAAACACATACGACCTTTTCGATACTGCCATAACTGGCAGCAAACCACCTACTATTCGAGTAATAATCAGAAGTTTTGTAAAATCCAGAAAAAAATATCGTTCCAAAAGTAGAAATAATTACAATCGCGTACCACCAAATGTTAACTCTTTTAGTACTAAACGTATTGTTCTGACGATGTGAATACAAGTAACCGAAAATCAACCCCCAGGCAAGTCCAGCTAAATTGGACATGGTACTTATCCAAGTCGCCTGCCACTCTTTGCTAAACGTAAATTTAAAATCGTACAATAACCTGTAAATAACGAAAAGGTAGTACCATTTTTTTTTAAATTAACACTTACTCTGGTGTTAATGCAGCACTGAATTCGAAGTCGTTCCATCTTAAGTAAAGGAAGGTCCACACGATCTGTAAGAAAAGTAATGTTTTGGAAACCAAGAACAGACGTCTTGGATTTTTTTGTGTCAACCATAAAATCAATAAACCAAGCACTGTCAGCTGAAAATCGACAGACAGATACCACGTGTGCAGCGAACACTTAAATAACAAATACAGTTATATTGTTGAAGAATTTGTAAAATGTTTTCCTGTACCGCTCCATCATCGAAAAAAAAGTTACTGATGTAGAGTAGGTTAATCCACCATTTTTCGTTACATTGTCTATGGTCGGGTCCCATTACTTGTTCCCAAAATGGTCCACGAGATAAACGTATAAACCATGTACTGTGTAAAGCGATAAGAATAACTTGTCCTGAAGTAAACCTTATATATCTTTTAACGATTTTGCGTAAAACATATCTGAAAGTAATATATTGGGCACGTCTCAAGTCACTGTAAAAATTAATTGTCATGAGGAAAGACGAAAGAACGAAGAATGTTTGAACAAATATAGCGAAATTGCCTAAACTAACAGAAATAGAAGAACTCGTTAGCTGAAATTAGAACATGTTTAGTATTGAACAATGATATATTTTTTGTTTCTTACTTTTTCAACTGTTTGAGGATTAGCTGTTGCAATCTGCAGAGCAGTAGCAATTCCATGTACTTGGATCGTAAAAAACGAGGCAAAAAATCGAATACCTTCGATTGTAGGTAAATAATTATTACCTTGTTTTCTAACGTTTTTGTTTATTATAGAATTGACGTTATCAAAAAATGAAAACGCGGAGAGAAAATTCTCCACTGAAACAAATTCTTATATTAAATACTAAAAACGTAATCAGGCGAATCTCACCAGGAGATATCTTTCCATCTTCATTTTTGACAGATTTCTTTCCATAAATCGCCAGCCACATTGAAGCGAGTACTGCAAAGCCCACGTAAGTTCCTAAAACCGTCCTAAAACTTCGACGTGAATTCAGGTGTTGAAATGAGTTGAGTTATATACAAAACAACAAGATCCTTCGTGTTTATAACATAATCGGATTCCTTCGTTTCGCAGTGTAACTGGTTAATTTGAGCATCGAGTCCTAAACGTCCATATTTTGATTTGTATATTCGTCCTAAGCACTCAGATGTTGTCTCATTGAAATTTTTACATTTCCAACTGGCACATATTCCGCGTCTTAGTAAATCGTAGCGATAGTTTCTTCTGTCTGAGCTCACTTTCTGCAAATGATCGTACCTCCAAAATATTGAAATTTGTTGACAATTTTCGTATTACCTCTATAATACTCCATCCAATGTTTGACTATGAACAATCTTTCGGCAATAATTCAATTGTAACCTTGCAGTAAATTGGCTTAAGATCACTACTGTAGTAGATGCATTTGTCGAAGTCGTCAAACCCGAACAGATTTGGAATCAATTTGTATTCTTCGTCTAAAACAAACAAAATAATATGTAACAGGTTTTAGAGCAGATGTACGAAGAACATGACTACAGTAATTACCAGTGATGGTTGCTGATGAAGAAATAATTTTTAATAACACGAATTTGACAAACACTAATTTTCTCCAAGTCATTTTGCTAAGAACCGATTTTGTAATCGGTATTACTAAAGGCTTCGTGAAACAACACTAGTTTTTGTCAAAAATAAGTCAACGGTTGTGCACACGTTTTTCATAAATATATAAAAAATGCAAATTATTGAAACTGCGGTATTAAACGCAACGTTTAAATAATATATCAACTCATTTTATTTGTAAATTATTATTAGCAATGTTTCAAGGAGGTTATGAGTCTGTGATAACGCGGTTTACGTACATACACTGTTTTGGAAAAAAAATTGAGAAACATTATTTTATCCTTGATTGGTAGTAGTCATAACAGAATAGTGTAATTTTGTTACTTTTTAGTGATAAATAAATTTTATGCAACCATATTTTTCTAAATTTTCGACAGAAGAATATTTCCCGTGCTCTGTTAGGACACTCATTTTTTGTAAAATATCTTGCAGGTTTTTACATGCCATTTCATCTACACTCCCCGGAGTATTTTCCAATCATTTAAACAATTGCTCTACTTAGGGTCAGCCCAATGGTCTCTAATCTAATTATACTTGTTTTAAGATGGTAAAATGGGTTTTTATATAGGCCACATTATGTTTGAGATGCCTTTCGACACTGTGTAGTCAAATTTCACAATAACTAAGCTTCGGATTTTAGGTCATTAAAAAATGAATAAAAGGAGACAATTTTAGGTCCCAAAATTGACCAATTAGGTTATAAAAATCTTAGTTTAAGTTAAAAACCTGGAGGAAAAAATATTTGCTCAACGAAAAAGCATACATGAAAAAAATATATATTAAAAAAAAAACATTAAACAAAACATTATAGAAACAAATATTTTGTGTAAGAAACAAAAAAATGATTAAATAAACAAACGATCTATAGTTACGTCCACTAATTCTAAGTTAGCGCAAAAAAATGGTGAAAAAAGCAAGTCGCATTTAACAAAAAATAAAATATTAATTCAGGTATTTAAAATGAGTTACAAAAGCAAATTACATATTTCTTTAAATTTTCGATTGTAAATTTACACCTTTGATCGCTTAAAACACTTTTAAGTTTTGAAAACGTGCGTGCGTTCCACACCACAATAAGTGATGGGTGCAAAATTAAATCTATGTTTTCATTTATGTATGTATTGTTGGTAACATTTTCATTACCGCAAATTACGTTAATTACTGAACATATAAAATCGTATCCTGGATTCTTTTTTAATAGAGAACATAATTTTTGGAACGCCATTTCCTCCACCTTTCCTGGTGTGTTTTTTAAAGATGTATACACTTTTTCCACAATTTCCATACTTTGGTTTAATTTTAAACCTATAGTTTCTAATTGTTCTATTGCATCTGCAATAATTTTAAAGTGAGTTTTAATGTACAAGAGTTCATTTTTAACGTTTGCTTTATTCAGGAATTCTTGAGCTTTTTTAATGCTTTGTGCATCTGTGGCTTCAAATGACATTTCAAACTAAAAATTTTCAATATAAGAATGACAGTAAAAAACCTGACTTTTTTTAAAACAACAAAGTGTTCTGTATAAAACAATGATGCTTGAATCCAAGTGCCCCACCTGGTTAATGCAGGTTCAGGTGGGAGAGGTGTATTTGGTAAACTGTTTTTATAAAACTCTACTCTTTTTGGTGCTTTTAAAAAGATTTTCTTAACAGTATTAATTATCCCATTGAAATCTGGATAATTCAGTATAATTGTTTCAGACACTAAATGTAACCCATGTGCCATACATGTTAAGTGTGTTATATTTTCATAAAACACGTTCAAATTAGTACCAGTTTTGATCATGTATAAAGCACCATCTGATAAATGCCCTACATAAATCGGTACAAAATTGGGTAAACTCATTGTCGGAACGAATGCTTAATAAAGTGTGTTTACTGGATTTATTGCTGTTCTTTTTATGTGCACCGCCACTGCAGTGTTGTTCAAAGTGTGATTTTTTTCGCACTTAAACTAGGAAACAAAAATGTGAACATAATTCAAGCTTCAGTATTTTAAATGTTTACTTACAACTTTTCCACACACTTTTCAGAATAACTCATTGTCTTTGGTTGAAGAAGGAAATTGAAAATTAATGTCCAACTTATTCCCTAACCATAATTTGATTTTATCTTTCATGGATGATTTTACCTGAGGATTCTTTACTGTATGCATAAAAATCAAAACCGGCCCCAGCACACTCACTAACACGCAAAAACACTCAGTATCAATAACAATAAACTTCTAAAATAAAATGCTTTTTCTGAGATTCACCTCCTTCCGGTTATAATCTAAATGAAATGCAGACCAGCGTTGTCAGTTGGCTTCTTCTAGCCAAAACAATGAATTCACGGAATATCAATATTGTGCAAGCACGTCCGTTTCGTTGGTCGTGGAATTCTATTTTAAGCCTTTTAAAAGTTACAATTAGGTCGTTTAATTAACATTTTACATCTCTAACGGTAAATTAGGCATTTTAGGTAGTAATAAATGGGCGTTAAATAAACAGAATTTTTAAATTTGGATAAATATATAAATTTCCCTGCAATGCCTGAAGTAGGTATAAAAAGGCACCTAAGATCCCAAGCCTAGTTATTAAGAAACAAAAAGGGGTTTAATTCAGGGTTATAGTTGTTCACATTTGAGTCATATACAGAATTAAAGTACGTAGCAAACATATCTTTAATCGTTTGGGAATCAGAGGACTGTAAATCTTGGTAGTGCATATTTTTCGGTACTCTAGATTTAGAATTGCCACCTTTAGAATTTACATGGTTAAAGAAGACTTTAGTATTATTATTAATGACTGCTGGATGAAATTGATGAAAGGCAAAGGCGGGCTACTAACATTGTTATTAGCAACATACCTAAGCCTCAATCTGCAAATGTTGAAGAAAAAATTGTCGATGATCTTAACATAGTAAAAGAAATCATTATAGGTGCTGGAATTTCGACAGAAATAGTAAAAGCGTTTCATATCGGGAAGCATTTGCCTTGAAAAAATCGTCTTATCAAAGTTATTTTACCAAACCCTGAAGTTGCTCAGAGTGTACTGCGAAATTATAAGTTCACTAGTAATATATACCTGAATAGAGATTTGACGCAGCTACAACAAGAGAAGTCATATTCTGTCCGTCAAAAATTTAAGAATCGTGTTCAAAATGGTGAGAAAAATATCAAACTTAAATGCTACAATGGAAAGCCCAAAATTATTGCAGTAAAAAACGAGTAGTTTTCCAGCAGATAACAGACAATAATTTTTATCGCTTTAATATAGTATATCAGAACACCAGGGGATTAAATAGAAAAATTTGTGACTTTTATTTAAATGTTTGTTCAACGGATGCAGATATTATTTTACTAACAGAAACTTGGCTGTATACAGATGTCTTTTCTAGTGAAATTTTTCCAAGTCATTTCAATGTTTATAGATGCGACAGAGAAAACAAAAGGGGAGGTGGTGTTTTGATCGGAGTCAATAACAAAGTCAAATCAAAAAATCTTTATGTATATGCAACTTTGTGGATAATACAGAGTTAGTAGGAGTCAAATTAGTTATTGAAGACATGCAATGGACTGTAGTAGTTGTATATATTCCTCCAGGTTCTGCTTGTACAGTATACTTACAACTTTTTGAGTATCTGGACCAATCTTGATCTTACCAATCCTGTGCTGCTGACCGGTGATCTTAATATAACAGAACTTAATGACTGCTTAACAGAAGAACGGTCTACGTACTTATTTAACATTTACAATCATTTTTTGTCTCTAAATAATCTCAGTCAGCATAACAATGTACTAAAAAGAAGAGGCAGAATTCTTGATTTAATAATTGCTACAAGTGATATTGCAAGTGAATTAAAAAAGCATGAAGACCCGCTAATTTCGGAAGATCATCACAATCCTTGCCTTGATATCAGTATTAACCTACGAAAAAAAAAGTATTCAAAGAAATTTTCTTAAAAAAGATGAATTAGTCTTCAATTTTCGCAAAGCGAATTTACTTAATCTCTGTAATGAATTATCGTCGGCGGATTGGTCATGTGTTCAAAATTGTGACGAAGTTGATGGTGCGTGCGATAATTTTTACCAAGTAATAAATGATAACTTTCTAAAATATGTGCCATTGTGCAGAATAGTTTCAAAAGGAACCTATCCAAAATGGTTTACTAAACATGTTATGGATCTTATAAAAGTGAAAAGGAAACATTGGAAGCATTACAGGAAATAAAAATTATTGTACCATTTAGACCAATATAAGGAGCTGAGAAACAGAATTAAGTATCAAATTCGCATAGAATATGCAAACTTTATCAAAGATTCGGAAAATTCAATCAAACAAGATCCCTAATTTATGTTCGTTTACAAACTTTGTATCTCAGGCTTTAGATCAGAGATTACAGGTGGATGAGGTCTACACTGTCCTGACAAAGGCATTTGACAAGGTCAACCACTATATCTTATTTAGCAAATTAGAAAAATTTGGAATATGTGATAGTTTAGTATTACTTATAAGATCTTTGTTAACTTGTAGGCAGCAGTATGTTGAGTATAGTCGGTATAGATCACAGATATTTTATGTAAACTCTGGAGTTGCTCAAGGCTCGAACTTGGGGCCTTTGTTGTTTATGATCTTTTTTAATGATATTATCACCTAAAGGGTTTCATTCTTGAACGTTGTATGAAGTTTTCAGACTTAGGTATAGTTGTGGATAACACTGTCTTTCGCCAATCACATTGAGTACATTTGCAATAATGCCATGAAAGTACTGGGTTTTGTAATCAGAAATACGGTTTATTTTAAGGACATCTTCAGTATTCGCTTACTCTATTACAGTCTGGTAAGGTCGAAGTTAGAGTATTGCAATATCGTTTGGTGCCCGTTCCAGCAAACCTATATGTCACTACTTGAAAACGTCCAGCGCAAGTTTTGTAAGTTCCTATACTTGAAAATGTTTGGCGTTTATCCTCAAAGGCACAGTGAACAAAATATACTATTAAATTTAGTTGATGAAACACCTTTGGCAGCAAGAAAGAATGTAAGTCGACTTATATTTTTGCAAAACATTATCAATAATACAATTAAATGTGATGACTTGTTTAGTGAAATGCACACTTATGTTCCAAGTTTCAACGGCAGGAATCCGATTATGTTTTATTACAGTAGACCAAATGCTTACCATCATTTCAACAGCTGTCTTATAGCTTGCTTAAGGTTATATAACTGTATAATGTATCATTTAAATATTGATATTTTTAGTGACAATGTTAAAAGTAAATCAATGAAACAAATATTACTAAATACGTATACACCAAAAACAAATGTTATTGTGTAGTACTGTGTAATTATGTTTATATTATATGTAAATTTTTTGTCCCAGTTTCGACAACTGTCTGTTGGAAATAATAAACGTTATTATTTTTATTATTAAAAATTGAAAAACTCAAACATTGAAAAATTTTAAACCGAAAGGTAGAAAGACCGCAGAAATTAAAGCAAATAATAATGTTAATAAGATAATACAACTTACTTAAAGTTTCTAAAACTTCAGTCTTTGTGAAAAAATTTCCATGTCAACTAGGGAAGTTCTGTCAAAATATGCTTTAACCAGTTTTTTTTATAAACTTATTTAAAATTACACGAGGGACAGTGAATAAAATGAACAAGACAAGACATAGCTTATATTTTTTATTTGTCTTTTTACAAAAACCTGTTTGTTAAATTTTCAATTGGCATTAAAACAAACGAAGTTAAGAATATAGAACTTAAATACGACAATGTAACATTTTTCAATATTTCTGTTGCCTAAAAGGGGATTTTACAAAGAAATTAAAATAGTACAAACCAATAAATGAATACAGTACCATTAAATAAGGTGAGACGTAAGTAGGATATCGTTTTAAAGCGTTATCAATGCTGAAAAACACAAAATGAATTAAATATGCACCGAACGACAACTTGCCCAGAGTATGCATTGGCGCCCATTCTAGAACATTTCTAATAAACCCTGAAACACAATCATGGTTTTTGTACACTTAAAAATACCAAAAACGTACCACCCAGACCTTGCAACGTGCCAAAAATAAAAAAACTAATTCCAAAAACACATACGACCTTTTCGATACTGCCATAACTGGCAGCAAACCACCTACTATTCGAGTAATAATCAGAAGTTTTGTAAAATCCAGAAAAAAATATCGTTCCAAAAGTACAAATAATTACAATGGCGTACCACCAAACGTTAACTCTTTTAGTACTAAATGCGTTGTTCTGAAGATGTGAATACAAGTAACCGAAAATCAACCCCCAGGCAAGTCCAGCTAAATTGGACATGGTACTTATCCAAGTCGCCTGCCACTCTTTGCTAAACGTAAATTTAAAATCGTACAATAACCTGTAAATAACGACAAGGTAGTACCATTTTTTTTTAAATTAATACTTACTCTGGTGTGAATGCAGCACTGAATTCGAAGTCGTTCCATCTTAAGTAAAGGAAGGTCCACACGATCTGTAAGAAAAGCAATGTTTTGGAAGCCAAAAACAGACGTCTTGGATTCTTTTGTGTCAACCATAAAATCAATAAACCAAGCAGTGTCAACTGAAAATCGACAGACAAATACCACGTGTGCAGCGAACACTTAAATAAAAGATGGGGTTACAATTTTTAAGAATTTGTAAAAGATTTTGCTTTACCGCTCCATCATCAAAAAAAAAGTTACTGATGTAGAGTAGGTTAATCCACCATTTTTCGTTACATTGTCGGTGGTCGGGTCCCATTACTTGTTCCCAAAATGGACCACGAGATAAACGTATAAACCATGTACTGTGTAAAGCGATAAGAATAATTTGTCCTGACGTAAACCTTATATATCTTTTGATGATTTTGCGTAAAACATATCTGAATGTAACATGTTGAACACGTTTCAAGTCACTGTAAAAATTAATTGTCATGAGGAAAAAGGAAAGAACGAAGAAAGTTTGAACGAATATAGAGAAATTGCCTATACTAACAGCAATAAAAGAAGTCGTTAGCTGAAATTAGAACTTCTTTAGTAGGTACTAATCAGTGACACTTTTTTTGTTTCTTACTTTTTCAACTGCTTGGGCGTTAGCTGTTGCAATCTGTAAAGCAGCAGCAAGTCCGTGTACTAGGATCACAGAAAACGACGCAAAAAATCGAATACCTGCGATTGTAGGTAAATAATTGTTAGGAGTACCTTGTTTTCTAACGTTTTTGTTTATTATAGAATTAACGTTATCAACAAGTGAAAATGCGGAGAGAAAATTCCCCACTGAAACAAATAGGTACTTATATTAAATACTAAAATCGTACTAAAGTAAATCTCACCAGAAGAAAATTTTCTATCTTCATTTTTGACAGATTTCTTTCCATAAATCGCCAACCATACTGAAACGAGTACCACAAAGACCACGTAAGTTCCTAAAACCGTCCTAGAACTTTGAAGTGTCGAAATAAACTGTGTTATTATTATTACCAAATAATACAGTCTTTAGTGGTTATAACATAACCGGATTCCGTCGTTTCGCAGTGTAACTGGTTGATTCGAGTACCAAGTCCTAAACGTCCATATTTTGATTTGTATATTTGACTTAAGCACTCAGATATTGTCTCGTTGAAATGTTCACATTTCCAACTGGCACAAATTCCGTGTCTTAGTAAATCGTAGCGATAGTTTCTTTTGTTTGAGCTCGCTTTCTGCAATACCTCCAAAAATAGTGAAATTTGAAGACGGCTTCAATTTTCGTACTACCTCTATAGTACTCCATAAAATATTTGTTTGTGAACCATCTTCCGGCGATAATTCAACTGTTACCGTGCAGTAAGTTGGGTTAAGATCAGTACTGTAAAAAATGCATTTGTCGAAGTCGTCAAACTTAAACAAATCTGGAATCAATTTGTATTCTTCGTCCAAAAAAAGAAAATAATAAGTAACAGGAAATATGGCTACAATAATTACCAGTGGTGGTTGCCGACGAAGAAATAATTTTTAATAAGACCAATTTTACAAATACGAATTTTTTCAAACTCATTTTATGTTGAACAACACTAGTTTTTGTCAGAAAAAAGTCAACCAATGTACCCACGTCTTTTACCAATAAATGGTTTAAAAAAATGCAAATTATTATTGAACGCTACGTTTAAATAATGTAATCAACTCATTTATTTGTTAATTATTATTAGCAATGTTTTAAGGAGGTTATGCGTCTGTGATAACGGTATTTACGTACATGCACTGTTTTGCAAAAAAACATTATTTTATGGTTGTATTAATTGGTAGCAGTCATAATATTGTACCGTGTGATTTTTCTTTTTGTGTCTTCTAATTCTATTAATGACCCACAAAAGTTATGATGTTTCCAGTCATAAGTTTCTATACAATCACACAATACTGACGTCATCGAGACAAGCAATTCTTCGTAAAGTTGATATTATTTTTGCAGTATAAAATGAAATACCAAATTTTATTCTTTTATTCATTAATATTAACATGTACATTAATAGTAACCACGAATTCATTATTTTTATTGCCAACGACTGAAACCTTGCTAGGTTTAAAAAATGACAAATTCAAAATCCAAAAAGCAAAAAACTGAGAAATCGAAAAATCCAGAACTCGAAAAGTCGAAATACTAAAAAATCACAAAACTGAAAGAAACATCCAAAAATTGGAAGATTAAAATACTGAAAACTTAGGAAATCGAAAAGTCAAAAAAGCAAAGTCGGAAAAACGCAAACTTAAAAATTAAAAATTGAAAAACTGAGCAACTGAAAAACTGAAAAATTTAATTGAGAAATCGGAAAGCTGAAAATTCAGAAACGTCAAAATTTGAGAAATTGAAAATTTTGAAGAACTGAAAAATCGAAAAATCGAAAATTTAAAACATTGAAAAATTAAAATATTGTAAAATTACAAAATGGACAAATCGAGAAAACAAACCTCGAAAATTTAAAAAATTGAAAAATCGAAAAGCCGAAAAGTAGAAAATCGAAAAATCGACGAATCAAAAAATCAAAACGTGGAAAAATTCAAAAACTGACAACAAAAAGATCGAAAAGTTAAAAATTCGGAAAATTGAAAAATTAAATTAAGTATACATAGAAGAACAGAAAACTCGAGAAATTGAAAAATCTAGAATTATAAAAATTGAAAATGAAGTAATAGAAAATTTTGAGAAATCTAAAGTTTAAAAAACAAAAAACTGAAAATCCAAAAAACAAAAAATAGAAAAATCCAGAAGAAGTCCCAGAATCGAAAAATTGAAAAATCCCAAACTGAAACATATACCCAAAAATAGAGAAATTAAAAACTGGACAACAGAGAAATCGAAAAGATAAGGTCGAAAAGTCGAAAAATCGAAGAACTGTAGAATTGAAAAATTGAAACTTTTCGAGAAATCGGAAAATCAAAAAATAGATTAATTGAGAAATCGAAAAACTGAAAATTGAAAAATTGAAAAATTGAAATACTGAAAAATTAAAAAATCGAGAAATCGAAAAATCTGAAATTTAATACATCGAACAATTAAAATATCGCAAAATTGAAAAATGGAGAAATCCACACATCAAAAAATCAAAAAATAAGATTTCGAAAATCTAAAATTTAAAAATAGAATAACTGAAAAATCGATACTTCAGAATTTAAAAAATCGAAAAACCGAAAAATTCAAAAATAGAAACAATGAAAAATAAAAAATCTGGCACATCGAGAAATCAAAAAAAGCAAAGTAACCAGGAAACGAGAAGAAAAATTAAAAACTGAAGAATTAATAAATCCAGTAATTAAACAATCAAACCATTGAAACGTCTGAATTCAGTAAATCGAGAAATCAAAAAATTGAAAACAAGATAAATTTTAAAAAAGAAAAATAGGAAAAATCGAATATTTAAAAGTTCGGAAAACTGAAAAATTGAAATATAGAAGAACTGAAAATTCGAGAAATCGAAAAACCTAGAATTTTAAAAATTGAAGAATTAAAAATTGAAAAGTTGAAAAATTGAGAAATCAAAGTATAAAACAGTCGAAAAATTGAAAAATCTAAAGTTTAACGAAAAATTCAAAAAATCAAAAAGTAAAAAATCGAGAAAACAAAAAATCCAGGAGTCCAAAAATCGAAAGGTTGAAAAATCGAAATATTGAAAGATCCCAAAACTGAAAAAAATATTCAAAAAATTGGGAAAGTGAGAAATTGAAAAACTAGAAAAGCAAAGTAGAAAAATCGTAAGCTTAAAAAATTGAACAATTGATAAAATGGGAAAACAAAACAATGTATTTCAGAAATCGGAAAACTGATAATTTTAGAAACGTCAAAATTTGAAAAATTGGAAAGTCTTAAAATTGAAGAGGACAAAAATTGGAAAATCATATCATTGAAATATCGGAAAATTGAGAAATCGAAAAATACAAAAATTGGGAAATCGAAAATTTGAAGAATGGAAAAATAGAAAAGCCCAAAATTGAAATATTGAACAATTTAGATATCTACAGTTGAAAAATTTAAGAAATCAAAAAGCCGAAAAATCTCAATAGCGTATTTATAAACCACAAGTTCAGGACTATGCTACTTTTTAACATTTAAATAACATTTATTAGACAAAATTGTAAAATCATATCATTAATTCCTGGGGGCATGAACGGATAAATTTTGACTAAAAATTTAACATGCTTCCAATAACGATAATTTGGAAAATGTTCTCCATTTTTGTCCAAGAATCTTGACGTCTAAGGTAAAAACTCAACACGGATTAATAAACCATAAATGGGGGATACAAAATTTAAATTGTAGGAGGGCTTGGTGTATTTAACACATCAAAGCTTTTCCTAGAAAAGCAAGAGGCAACTTGTGTCGGGGTCTGTAAATGCTTGAATTTTGCTGTCACCACTTTATTGATATTTTTCAAAGCTTCGTCCAGGACTGCTACAACAACTTCGTTTTCGTCTTCGTGTTCCAAAATTCAAGAAATTTTTGTCTCGCAAAAACACAAATGTCGCAAGTGTCACAAGTTTAGAAAAATGTAAACGATTCTCGATTGGGATTATTATGATTCGAATAGTGAACTAAAATCGAAAAAATGCAAAAAAGTCACTCAGAATCAAAAATAAGCAAATAGGTAAAAACAAGTAGGGCTGAAATAAAACGATTTTCTCAGATACACATTTATATACAACTTTCATACATTTGCCTGCAACCAAAACGAAAAGACATTTGCCTTAGAATCCGCTCTTCAAACTTGAGTATTGTAAAGAAAATTTTCCTACCTCATTGTCATCTTTTACAAGAACTTATTTGCTAACTTTTCCATAGGCATCACAATAAACGACGTCAAGATTAACGAACTTAAGTAAGACACAACAACGTTTTTAAATATCTCATTGACCTGAAAAGGTGATTAATACTTATGAGTCATTTAGTTAGATCGAGAAAAATAAATATACCGATAAATAAACTGGAACGTAGCAGGGTTCCGAACAGAGGTGAAATCGATGCCTTTTTAATCCGAACAAAAACTCTGCAATTCGAATTGAACTTGAAAACATGGTAGAAATTCGAAAAAGGGAAACATTTCACTTTTAAAAAAGTTGTCTAAAAATTGCGAAAAAATTCAGGGACGTGGATATCGACATGCTGATTCCAAAAATATAGGGTGTTGATGGCCCCGGAGCAACATTTTCGAAAGAATCGCTACGAAATGCGAATTTTTGAGAATTTCTGAAAATCTCGATATTTCAACGGTCGAATCCGGAAAAACGGTTGCAGTTATCAATGAAACGACGCCGGAACTGAGTTCTACAGCTCGAAATCTACAAGAAAATGTGTTTAGTTGAGTTTCGAAAACGTCAAAATTTGGCCGAAATGTGAAGAAGAAATTGGAAAAATTTTAATTTTAAAAAAGTTGTCTAAAAATTCTGAAAAAATTAAGGGACGTAGATCTCGACATGCTGATTCCAAAAATATAGGGTGTTGATGGCCCCGGAGCAAAATTTTCGAAAGAATCGCTACGAAATGCGAATTTTTGAGAATTTCTAAAAATCTCGACATTTCAACGGTCGATTCCGGAAAAACGGTTGCAGTTATCAAAGAAACGGGGCAGGAACTGAGTTCTAGAGCTCGAAATCTACTACAAAATGTATTTAGTTGAGTTTCGAAAATGTCAAAATTTGGCCGAAATATGAAGAAGGGGGGACCATTGGAGAAATTTCACTTTTAAAAAAGTAGTCTAAAAATTCTGAAAAAATTCAGGGACGTATATCTCGACATGCTGATTCCAAAAATATAGGGTGTTGATGGCAACATTTTCGAAAGAATCGCTACGAAATGCGAATTTTTGAGAATTTCTAAAAATCTCGATATTTCAACCGTCGATTCCTGAAAAACTGTTGAAGTTATCAATTAAACGACGCCGGAACTGAGTTCCAGAGCTCGAAATCTACTAGAAAATGTGATTAGTTGAGTTTCGCAAATGTCAAAATTTGGCCGAAATGTGAAGAAGGGGGGACCATTGGAAAAATTTTACTTTTAAAAAAGTTGTCTAAAAATTCTGAAAAAATTAAGGGCGTATATCATGACATGCTGATTCCAAAATTACAGGGTGTTGATGGCCCCGGAGCAACATTTTCGAAACAATCGCTACGAAATGCGAATTTTTGAGAATTTCTAAAAATCTCGATATTTCAACGGTCGATTCCTGAAAAACGGTTGCAGTTATCAAAGAAATGACCCCGGAACTGAATTCTAGAGCTCGAAATCTACAAGAAAATGTATTTAGTCAAGTTTCGAAAAGGTCAAAAATTTTTCGAAATTTGAAGAAGGGGGGACCATTGGAAAAATTTTAATTTTAAAAAAGTTGTCTCAAAATTCTGAAAAAATTAAGCGACGTAGATCTCGGCATGCTGATTCCAAAAATATAGGGTGTTGATGGCTCCGGAGCAACATTTTCGAAAGAATCGCAACGAAATGCGAATTTTTAAGAATCTCTAAAAATCTCGATATTTCAACGGTCGATTCCTGAAAAACGGTTGCAGTTATCAAAGAAACGAGGCCGGAACTGAGTTGTAGAGCTCGAAATCTACAAGAAAATGTATTTAATTGAGTTTCGAAAATGTCAAAATTTGGCCGAAATGTGAAGAAGGGGGGACCATTAAAAAAATTTTAATTTTAAAAAAGTTGTCTAAAAATTCTGCAAAAATTCAGGAACGTAGATCTCGACATGCTGATTCCAAAAATATAGTGTGTTGCTGGCCCCGGAGCAACATTTTCGAAAGAATCCCTACGAAATGCGAATTTTTGAGAATTTCTAAAAATCTCGATATTTCAACAGTCGATTCTTGAAAAACGGTTGCAGTTATCCAAGAAACGAAGCCGGAACTGAGTTCTTGAGCTCGTAATCTACAAGAAAATGTATTTAGTCAAGTTTCGAAAATGACAAAAATTTTCCGAAATTTGCAGAAGGGGGGACCATTAAAAAAATTTTAATTTTAAAAGAGTTGTCTAAAAATTCTGAAAAAATTCAGGGACGTAGACCTCGACATGCTGATTCCAAAAATATAGGGTGTTGACGGCCCCGGAGCAACATTTTCGAAAGAATCCCTACGAAATGCGAATTTTTGAGAATTTCTAAAAATCTCAATATTTCAACGGTCGATTCCGGAAAAACGGTTTCAGTTATCAAAGAAACGATACCGGAACTGAGTTCTACAGCTCGAAATCTACAACAAAATGTGTTTAGTTGAGTTTCGAAAATGTCAAAATTTGGCCAAAATGTGAAGAAGGGGGGACCATTGGAAAAATTTCACTTTTAAAAAAGTTGTCTAAAAATTCTGAAAAAATTCAGGGACGTATACAATGACATGCTGATTCCAAAAATATAGGGTGTTGATGGCCCCGGAACAACATTTTCGAAAGAATCGCTACGAAATGCGAATTTTTAAGAATCTCTATAAATCTCGATATTTCAACGGTCGATTCCTGAAAAACGGTTGCAGTTATCAAAGAAACGAGGCCGGAACTGAGTTATAGAGCTCTAAATCTACAAGAAAATGTATTTAGTTGAGTTTCGAAAATGTCAAAATTTGGCCGAAATGTGAAGAAGGGGGGACCAATGGAGAAATTTCACTTTTAAAAAAGTTGTCTAACCATTTTGAAAAAATTCAGGGACGTATATCTCGACATGCTGATTCCAAAAATATAGGGTGTTGATGGCCCCGGAGCAACATTTTCGAAAGAATCGCTACGAAATGCGAATTTTTGAGAATTTCTAAAAATCTCGATATTTCAACAGTCGAATCCGGAAAAACGGTTGCAGTTATCAATGAAACGACACCGGAACTGAGTTCTACAGCTCGAAATCTACAAGAAAATGTGTTTAGTTGAGTTTCGAAAATATCAAAATTTGGCCGAAATGTGAAGAAGGGGGGACCATTGGAAAAATTTCAGTTTTAAAAAAGTTGTCTAAAAATTCTCAAAAAATTCAGAGACGTATACCTCGACATGCTGATTCCAAAAATATAGGGTGTTGATGGTCGCGGAGCGACATTTTCGAAAAAATCGGTACGAAATGCGAATTTTTGAGAATTTCTAAAAATCTCGATATTTCAACAGTCGATTTCGGAAAAACGGTAGCAGTTATCAAAGAAACGACGCCGGAACTGAGTTCTAGAGCTCGAAATCTACAAGAAAATGTATTTAGTTGAGTTTCGAAAATGTCAAAATTTGGCCGAAATGTGAAGAAGGGGGGACCATTGGAAAAATTTCACTTTTAAAAAAGTTGTCTAAAAATTCTGAAAAAATTCAGGGACGTATATAATGACATGCTGATTCCAAAAATATAGGGTGTTGATGGCCCCGGAGCAACATTTTCGAAAGAATCGCTACGAAACGCGAATTTTTAAGAATCTCTATAAATCTCGATATTTCAACGGTCGATTCCTGAAAAACGGTTGCAGTTATCAAAGAAACGAGGCCGGAACTGAATTCTAGAGCCCGAACTCTACAAGAAGATGTACTTAATTGAGTTTCGAAAATGTCAAAATTTGGCCGAAATGTGAAGAAGTGGGGACCATTAAAAAAATTTTAATTTTAAAAAAGTTGTCTAAAAATTCTGAAAAAATTAAGGAACGTATATCTCGACATGCTGATTCCAAAAATATAGCGTGTTGATGGCCCCGGAGCAACATTTTCGAAAGAATCGCTACGAAATACGAATTTTTGAGAATTTCTAAAAATCTCGATATTTCAACGGTCGATTGTGGAAGAACAGTTACAAATACTAATGGAGCGTGGCCGGAAGTGTGTTTTAGAGCTCGAAATCTACAAAAAAATGTGTTTGGTTAAGTTTCGAAAATTTCAAAACCTGCCGAAATTGAAGACGAGGGGACGATTGAAAAAATTTCACTTTTTAAAAACTTGTCCGAAAACTGGAAAAAAAATTAGGGACGGGGATATCAACATGCTGATTCCAAAAATATAGCGTGTTCAAGGTCACTGAGCAATCTCCTCTGAAATTGTTCTGCTCATGTCAGTATTTCCATAATGAATTACAGTGCACTTCCTTTGGCATGAAATCCCCAACCACACATTTTATTTAACTAAATATATATAATTATTTTTCAAACACTTGTTACAATTTTCGCAGAGGCTTTACAGAACAATTCACCGTTTTCTATTTGAAAAACATCTTTGATTTTCGTCCATTCCTTTAACTTGTCCTTTAAAGACGATTTGACTTTGGGCATTTTTAAAAATGGCACAAAACCTTAGACGATAAACAATTTTAATACAGTTTTACACTTTTGAAATTCACTCTACGAAAACCCAAAACGAACTAATTGATACAGGACGAGAACTCGAAAAAAAGTTGTATCCAAAAGTAGGCTTAAATAAAAGGATTTTCTCAGGTACACATTTATATACAACTTTAATGCATTTGTCTACAACCAAAATGAAAAGGCACAAGAAAAAATTGTATCATTACTTCATCAACGCTGTCAAGCTGGTGCCTTCATGTTGTTTCAGTTACTGAAAAATACGTCTTATCATTGATAACAGTTACAATAATGTCTTACATTACTTGCATTATTTACAAAAACTTGTTCGTTAAATTCTCCATCGGCATCAATACAAACGCAGTCAAGATTACCGAACAAAAGTTGGACATAACAACATTTTTAAATATCTCGCTAGTCTAAAAACACAATTTATCAAAAAATTACAAAAACCAAACAAATAAGTTTACTATCAAATAAGGTGAGAAGTAAGAAGGATTTCGTTTTAAAGCGTTGTCAATGTTTAAAAACACAAAATGCACTAAATATGCACCAAACGATAACGTGCCCAGAGTATGCATTGGAGCCCATTCCAGAACGTTTCTAACAAATCCTGAAACGTAACAATGGTTTTAGTACACTTAAAAATAGTAAAACATACCACCAAGACCCTGCAACGTGCCAAAAATAAAAAGACTGATGCCAAAAACGCACACCACCTTTTCAATGCTACCATAGCTGGCAGCGAACCACCGGCTGCTCGAGTAATAATCACTAGTCTTGTAATATCCAGAAAAAAATATCGTTCCAAAAGTGGAAATAAGCACAATCGCGTACCACCAAATGTGGTCAGACTAAAAATTTTTGTGTGAAATGGGAAGATACCACTTTATTAGAGTTAACTTTTTTAGTAATAAATGTGTTATTCTGGCGGTGTGAATATATGTAGCCGAAAAGCAACCCCCAGGCAAGTCCAGCCAAATTGGAGACGGTGGTTGTCCAAGTCGCTTGCCATTCTTTTCTAAACAAAAATGTAAAACCATACAGTGACCTAAAAATAAAAATTAAATAAGTTTTTTTTTTGTAGTAAAAACGGCTTCCAAAGCTTACTCTGGTGTATATAAAGTACCAAATTCGAAATTATTCCATCCTAAATAAAAAAATGTCCATGTGACCTGTACTAGAAGTAATCCCCCTGAAACTAAAAACAGACGTTTGGAATTTTTTTGCGTCCACCACAAAATTAATAAACCAATCACAGTCAGCTGAAAATCTGCGGACAGAGACCACGTGTGCAGTAAACACTTAAATACAAACAAGATTTTTTCAAACAATCGTTAAAACGTTGCACCTTACCAATCCATGGTCAAAGAAAAAGTTATTGATGTAAAGTAGGTTTGTCCACCACATTTCACTACAAAGTCTGGCTTCAGACCCCATTACTTGTTCCCAAAAAAGTCCCCGAGATAAGTGCACAAACCATCTACTTTGCAAAGCGATGAGAATAACTTGTGCTGAGGTAAACCTGAAATTTCGGCATTTAATCGCAAACTTCTTACGAAATGTGTAACCTTATGTATCTTTTGACGATTTTGCGCAAAACATCTTCCAAAGTAACATAATGAGCACGTCTCAGGTGGCTGTAGAAGTTAATTGTCGTCAGGAAAAAGGAAATGACGAAGAAAGTTTGAAAAAGTATTAGGTGACTAATTAAAGCAACAGAAGTAAAGGAAGTTATTGACTGAAATTAAATTTTGTAGTACTCTACATTGATATTGTGCAACTTATTTTTACTTTTTCTACTGTTTGGGGGTTAGAAACAGCTACTAATGCAGAAGACATTATTGCATGAATCGCAATCACAAGAACTGAAGTAAAAAAACGAATTCCTTGTAAAGCTGGTAAATAATTATTTGTCCGGTTTTTAGTGTTTTGGTTAATTATAGAACGGATATTATCGGAAAGAGAAAAGGCACTGAGAAGGTTCTCCACTGAAACAAAATAAATAGAAGTAAATTATAGAGTAAATAACACAACAACACAGATTTCACCTGGAGATATTTTTGAGTCTTCATTTTTAACCTATTTCTTTCCATAAATCGCCAGCCATATTGAAGCGAGTACCACAAAACTCACGTAAGTACCTAAAACTATCCTAAAATTTCCAACTAAATTCCAGTGTTGAAATAAATTGATTTATATACAAAACTACATAGTCTCCATTGTTGGTAACATAATTGGGTTCCTTCGTTTCACAGTGTAACTGGTTAATTTTACCATCGAGTCCTAAATGTCCATATTTTGTTTTATATATTCGATTTAAACACTCAGGTATTGTCCCTTCGTACTTTCCACATTTCTTACTAGCACATATTCCATGTCTTAGTAAATCATGGCGATAGTTTTTTTTGTTTGAGCTTACTTTCTGCAATATTGTCATATTTTTTATAAACCAATGAAAAAGTTGTCAATATTACCTCTATAATCCTCCATATAGCGTTTGACTGTGACAGATTTTTAGGCACCAATTCAATCGTAACTCTGCAATAAGTTGGTTCAGGATCAGTACTGTAAAAAATGCATTTGTCGTAATCGTCAAAATTAAACAGGTCTGGCATCAACCTGTACTCTTCGTCTAAAAGAAGAAAAAAATACAAATTTTGTGGTGGAGGTGTAATAATTACCTGGAATATTTGTAGTGGGAGAAATATTTGTCGATATTAAAAACGCTATAGTTAAAAATGTTCGCCAACTCATTTTATTTACAATAAACAAGATGTGCAATTGCAAAAAGTGTCACTACGACCCGAGAATGCATTCAACACTAATTCGTGCCAGAAATAGAAGACGTATTTTGTCCACGTATTTTTATCAGCCAATGGTTTTAAGCAATTGCAATTTTATTACTACAATGCATTTAAGAGCTGCGCTATTATTGTTATCAGTTCATTCTACCGCTTGATCAGAAATAACTGAGTCTGTTGGCAATACTTTTTCGACAAAAATGTAAACTTTTCTTGGGTTTATGTTGGCATAACGGAAGTAATGTCAGTCGTGACAGGCGATAAATTTAGGTTATATTTTGGATACACTTTGTGTAATGCGTTTTGCAAATAAAAAATGTCGATAATCTGTCAATCTTGACAGCTGACAACCGAAAACTGCAGAAAATATTTTAGAAATTTTCGCTAAAAATCCAAGAATGCCAACAGACTCAGCTGATCTCGCGATATTTGTTAGTAAGTTAGTAATTTATATCGTAGAATGTTATTTAATTTATGTTTTTAATCAAGTTTCCAAAGAACTTACATTTTCAATATGAAATATTTAACTTCGTGTGCGCACTTTCAAAAATTATTTAAAGTCATTTTTGTGTTGATTTTGTTTTGTAAAGTCATTTTCGGTAACATTTTTATAAAAACTGTGTAGTTTTCCAGAATCGAGAACACGAAATCGGGCGATTTTTGGAACATTTTAAAAATTTTACTTTGAAACCGAAAATTTTGAAAATCCTAGTCCGGGTCTATCAAGAGCTCAAGTTTTTCAAAACAGAGCGTCGACAATTATCGTAGAATTTTTGGGTATTTCTAATGAACTTTTCAAAAAATTCAAATTTTCACTACGAAATGTTTGACGTTTTTCGCGGAATTTTGAAAATTACCAAAATACATTTTATGAAAATTCTACCTAGATTTCCGGAATCGCTAGGATGCAATATGGCGATTTATGGGAAATTTTAAAAATTTTATTTTGAAACCAAAAATTTTGAAAATGTTTATCTGGAAATTTTCGAGATTTATATTGTAGAATTTTTTGTGTATTTTTAACCAACCGTCCAAAAATCAGATTTTCAGTGTGAATTTTTTGAATTTTTTCCGAGGAATTTTGAGAATTATTAAAACATTTTTTGTTGGTTTCAACTTGTAGAAACCAAAATCAAAATTTTATGAAAATTCTACCCAGCTTTCCAGAATTCCCCAGTTGAGACATGGCCATTTTGGAACACTTTGAAAATTGGATTTTGAAACCAAAAATTTTTAAAATCTTAGTCTTGGCCCATCAACAAATTTTTGACTTTTTCCGAACATTTTCGAAAATGATTCTGTGTTGACTTTATTTTATAACAGACCTGGTTTTTTGAATTAGCCCGTCGAGATTTAAATCCCTGAATTTTTTGGATGCAAAATTCCAACAATTTTTCCAGAATCCCCAATTGAAATATGGCAATTTTTGGAGTATTTTAAAAATTTGATTATGAAACCGAAAATTTCGTAAATCTTACCTTGCGTCCACCAAAAGAGGCCATTTTGAACTTGAACTTTTTGACCTTTGTCCGAGCAATTTTGAATATTGTCCAAAGTTTGTTTGTTTATTTAGTTTTATAGAAGGCATTTTTGGCAACATTTTATGAAAATTTCAAGCACTTTAATTTTTTGTATGTTTTCAGACAACTTTGTAAAAAGCTCATATTTTGAATGTGAACTTTCTGACTTTTTTCTCAGTAATTTTGAAAATTACCCAAAGATTGTTCTTGATTTCGATTCACAGAAGTCATTTTTGGCAACTTTTTGTGAAAATTTCAATTAATTTTCCTAAATCCTTAAAATGAAATGGCCAAATTTTTGGAGTATTTTAAAAATTTGATTTTGAAACATAAAATTTCGTAAATCTTACTTTGAGTCCACCAAAAGAGGCCATTTTGAACATAAACTTTTTTACCTTTTTCCGAGCAATTTTGATATTACCCAAAGTTTTTTTGTTTATTTAGTTTTATAGAAGGCATTTATGGCAACATTTTATGAAAATTTCATGCACTTTAATTTTTTGTATGTTTTCAGACAACTTTGCAAAAAGCTCACATTTTGAATGTGAACTCTCTGACTTTTTTCTGAGTAATTTTGAAAATTACCCAAACATTGTTCTTGATTTCGATTCACAGAACTCATTTTTGGAAACTTTTTTTTAAATTTCAATTACTTTTCCTAAATCCTCAAAATGAAATGGCCAAATTTTTGGAGTATTTTAAAAATTTTATTTTGAAACATAAAATTTCGTAAATCTTACCTTGAGTCAACCAAAAGAGGCCATTTTGAACCTGAACTTTTTGACCTTTGTCCGAGCAATTTTGAATATTGTCCAAAGTTTGTTTGTTTATTTAGTTTTATAGAAGGCATTTTTGGCAACATTTTATGAAAATTTCAAGCACTTTAATTTTTTGTGTGTTTTCAGACAACTTTGCAAAAAGCTCATATTTTGAATGTGAACTTTCTGACTTTTATCTGAGTAATTTTGAAAATTACCCAAAGATTGTTCTTGATTTCGATTCACAGAAGTCATTTTTGGAGAATTTTTTTGAAAATTTCAATTACTTTTCCTAAATCCTCAAAATGAAATGGCCAAATTTTTGGAACACTTTTTTTAAAAATTTTATTTGGAAACATAAAATTTCGTAAATCTTACCTTGAGTCCACCAAAAGAGGCTATTTTGAACATGAACTTTTTGACCTTTTTACGAGCAATTTTGAATATTACCCAAAGTTTGTTTGTTTATTTAGTTTTATAGAAGTCATTTTTGGCAACATTTTAGGAAAATTTCAACCACTTTAATTTTTTGTACATTTTCAGACAACTTTGCAAAAAGCTCATATTTTGAATGTGAACTTTCTGATTTTTTCTGAGTAATTTTGAAAATTACCAAAAGATTGTTCTTGATTTCGATTCACAGAAGTCATTTTTAGCAACTTTTTGTGAAAATTTCAATTACTTTTCCTAAATCCCCAAAATGAAATGGCTAAATTTTTGGAGTATTTTAAAAATTTTATTTTGAAACAAAATTTCGTAAATCTTACCTTGAGTCCACCAAAAGAGGCTATTTTGAACATGAACTTTTTGACCTTTTTCCGAGCAATTTTGAATATTACCCAAAGTTTTTTTGTTTATTTAGTTTTATCGAAGTCATTTTGGCAACATTTTATGAAAATTTCAAGAACTTTAATTTTTTGTATGTTTTCAGACAACTTTGCAAAAAGCTCATATTTTGAATGTGAACTTTCTGACTTTTTTCTGAGTAATTTTGAAAATTACCCAAAGATTGTTCTTGATTTCAATTCACAGAAGTCATTTTTGGCAACTTTTTGTGAAAATTTCAATTACTTTTCCTAAATCCTCAAAATGAAATGGCCAAATTTTTGGAGTATTTTCAAAATTTTATTTTGAAACATAAAATTTCGTAAATCTTACCTTGAGTCCACCAAAAGAGGCCATTTTGAACATGAACTTTTTGACCTTTGTCCGAGCAATTTTGAATATTGTCCAAAGTTCGTTTGTTTATTTAGTTTTATAGAAGGCATTTTAGCAATATTTTATGAAAATTTCAAGCACTTTAATTTTTTGTATGCTTTCAGACAACTTTGCAAAAAGCTCATATTTTGAATGTGAACTTTCTGACTTTTTTCTGAGTAATTTTGAAAATTACCCAAAGATTGTTCTTGATTTCGATTCACAGAAGTCATTTTTGGCAACTTTTTGTGAAAATTTCAAGCACTTTTCCAAAATCCCCAAAATGAAATTGCCAAATTTTTGGAGTATTTTAAAAATTTTATTTTGAAACATAAAATTTCGTAAATCTTACCTTGAGTCCACCAAAAGAGGCTGTTTTTAACATGAACTTTTTGACCTTTGTCCGAGCAATTTTGAATATTGTCCAAAGTTTGTTTGTTTATTTAGTTTTATAGAAGGCATTTTTGGCAACATTTTATGAAAATTTCAAGCACTTTAATTTTTTGTATGTTTTCAGACAACTTTGCAAAAAGCTAATATTTTGAATGTGAACTTTCTGACTTTTTTCTGAGTAATTTTGAAAATTACCCAAAGATTGTTCTTGATTTCGATTCATAGAAGTAATTTTTGGCAACTTTTTGTGAAAAATTCAATTACTTTTTCTAAATCCTCAAATTGAAATGGCCAAATTTTTGGAGTATTTTAAAAATTTTATTTTGAAACATAAAATTTCGTAAATCTTACCTTGAGTCCACCAAAAGAGGCTATTTTTAACATGAACTTTTTGACCTTTGTCCGAGCAATTTTGAATATTGTCCAAAGTTTGTTTGTTTATTTAGTTTTATAGAAGGCATTTTTGGCAACATTTTATGAAAATTTCAAGCACTTTAATTTTTTGTATGTTTTCAGACAACTTTGTAAATAGCTCATATTTTGAATGTGAACTTTCTGACTTTTTTCTCAGTAATTTTGAAAATTACCCAAAGATTGTTCTTGATTTCGATTCACAGAAGTTATTTTTGGCAACTTTTTGTGAAAATTTCAATTAATTTTCCTAAATCCTTAAAATGAAATGGCCAAATTTTTGGAGTATTTTAAAAATTTGATTTTGAAACATAAAATTTCGTGAATCTTACCTTGAGTCCACCAAAAGAGGCCATTTTGAACATGAACTTTTTGACCTTTGTCCGAGCAATTTTGAATATTGTCCAAAGTTTGTTTGTTTATTTAGTTTTATAGAAGGCATTTTTGGCAACATTTTATGAAAATTTCAAGCACTTTAATTTTTGTATATTTTCAGACAACTTTCCAAAAAGCTCATATTTTGATGTGAACTTTCTGACTTTTTTCTGAGTAATTTTGAAAATTGCCCAAAGATTGTTCTTGATTTCGATTCACAGAAGTCATTTTTGGCAACTTTTTGTGAAAATTTCAATTACTTTTCCTAAATTCTCAAAATGTAATGGCCAAATTTTTGGAGTATTTTAAAAATTTTATTTGGAAACATAAAATTTCGTAAATCTTACCTTGAGTCCACCAAAAGA